GGCGGGGCCCCTGGGGGGCTGCAGCACGAGACGCAGGAGCTGGCCTCCAAGCGGGTGGACATCCAGAACAAGCGCTTCTACCTGGACGTGAAGCAGAACGCCAAGGGCCGCTTCCTGAAGATTGCTGAGGTGGGCGCGGGCGGCAACAAGAGTCGCCTCACTCTCTCTATGTCAGTGGCCGTGGAGTTCCGCGACTACCTGGGCGACTTCATCGAGCACTACGCGCAGCTGGGCCCCAGCCAGCCGCCCGACCTGGCCCAGGCTCAGGACGAGCCGCGCCGGGCGCTCAAGAGTGAGTTCCTGGTGCGCGAGAACCGCAAGTACTACATGGATCTCAAGGAGAACCAGCGTGGCCGCTTCCTGCGCATCCGCCAGACGGTCAACCGGGGGCCCGGCCTGGGCTCCACGCAGGGCCAAACCATTGCGCTGCCCGCGCAGGGGCTCATCGAGTTCCGTGACGCTCTGGCCAAGCTCATCGACGACTACGGAGTGGAGGAGGAGCCGGCCGAGCTGCCCGAGGGCACCTCCTTGACTGTGGACAACAAGCGCTTCTTCTTCGATGTGGGCTCCAACAAGTACGGCGTGTTTATGCGAGTGAGTGAGGTGAAGCCCACCTACCGTAACTCCATCACCGTGCCCTACAAGGTGTGGGCCAAGTTCGGACACACCTTCTGCAAGTACTCGGAGGAAATGAAGAAGATTCAAGAGAAGCAGCGGGAGAAGCGGGCTGCGTGTGAGCAGCTCCACCAGCAGCAGCAGCAGCAGCAAGAGGAAACCGCCGCTGCTACCCTGCTGCTGCAGGGTGAGGAAGAAGGGGAAGAAGATTGATCAAACTGAATGGGGAAAAAAAACCCACACACTGCATACACACACACACACACAGCCACACACACAGAAAATATACTGTAAAGAAAGAAAATAAAAAGTTAAAAAGTTAAAAAAAAAAACAACTGTTAAACTCCAAGGGAGCACCACCCACAGAACCTCCACCAACTGACAGTTTCTCTTCTTGACTTGCCACCCATCGCTGGATGTTGTCCACTTTATCCACCATATAAAACAGTAAGCAGCTGCTAAAAACAAACAAAAAAAAATACAAAAAGTAATAACATTATATGAACTGTGTTTCCTACTTGATTAAAAATATAAAGAACTGAGTGTTTATTTCCCTAATTAACCGAGAACTTTTGTACACGTTTAAGCTATTATTATTAAAAGTGTTTGCAAAATGGTCAAGATTATAATATTGCTGAATTATATAAAAGTCCTTTTCATGTTGAGCTAACATTTGACTTTAGCACAAAAAAGAGATATTTTAGAACACGTAAAATAATATTTTTAGTTTTTCTCATTTTGTTACCAAATTTCAAACCTTACATGGAGGCTATTATAGTATATTTGACACCCTATATACCTGTGATTAGAGATGTGTATATATATGAGGGCTAGGCATGCTGTGTGTCTGAGCTTTGTCTAAATGTTATGCAGAAGTTTGTAGAGTTAAAGGTACGTAGGTTTAATTCATGCAAGGTAAACAATAAGTGCTCTCTTTTATACAATATGCATTGCATCTGGACCTTAAACATAAAAATGGTCAGTGAAACTTCTGTGAACATGAAGAAATTATTAAAAAAAGGTATTTAAATGAAATTTGCTAAGTTGTGATTTTTACGGTTTGAACCAAAGTTACTCAAATAGTAAAAGGAAAAAGAGAAAGAAAGAAAAAGGAAATCTCCCATAATATTTTTCTGCATCTGTTTGCTTTGACTGAGTAGGCGTTTTGTCATTCTTGTGTATATGAGATGTACTTTTATCGTTCATAATATATTTTTTTTATTATGTGTAGAAAGATTTTAAAAACCTAACTAACGTGCAGCAATTTCCAGTGAACCTGTACTTGGACGTCAGGTAATGAGTCTATTTGTGGTCACTAGCACTGTCTCCTAAACTTGTAAGAGATCTGAAGCTATCCTTTGATTTTTGCCAGTGCTATTAACTTATGTAGACCTGTTAAAAAGCAGAGCAACGCAATTATAGAGTTATCCTACTGAGCCATGGATTCTGAGTTTCATTTAAAAGTGAAAGCCAAGTTGGTGTATGTAAAAGATTTCCATGTAGCTGTGGTGCTAGTTATTACTGGCTACATTATATGCTAAGTGTATTTGTGTTCCCCAAGTGTACAAGCCTTCTATCAAAAGTATATTCTGTAACTCTTATATTCCAGGTGTAGGGTATGAAAATGCAAGTTTAGGAGAGCACTTTACCAAGCCGGTGTCCTCCAGACTGAAATTGTTTGTAACGCTAGTCTTTTACAGGTTTTCATTTAAAGATGTTTGTGTGCTTTTAATTGACGACTAACTTCTTGCTGCTGTATAGTAAAATATTAATATATTTTTATCATTAAACTGCTGCATGACTATCATCTTTGAGTGAAGAGAAAATGTTATAAAAAAAGATGCCTTAAACAGTACATTTTGGTTTGGAATTCTGTAGAAAGTATTTTGGTAAAAAAAAAAAAAAAAAAAAAAAAAAAAAAAGGGGCCTTGTCTGACATAGAGAGTTTTGGAGATGGAATTGTTTCTTGGCAAATCCAGCCTTATAGATCTAACTGCTGTATGTAGAAGACACCACCTGTAGGAGCTGGAAGGTATCAGTGCTTCTCATATTGTAAAGCATTGGCCTAGGAAAGTGAAACAGTTGTCTGTCTTGAAGGATTTTTTTTTTTCTTCTGCTGGTCTTTGAATTTTGATTTGATATTTTTAAGCTCCCTGGTTGAGTGTGTTGTCTTTGTTTTTGAGATCTACTGTATGTGTTGAATAACAAGCTATTTCCATTGTACTGTGCATTTTCCCATTAAATTGTTTGCTTTTAATATTCATACAATGTTAAATATGAGGTGACCGTACAATAGTTAGGAATTTCTTTACTTACAAAATCACTGGAAATGATTAAATTGCTTTTCCCCTTCCCCCAAGGTACATTTTTCTTATTTCCATATAGTAAAGTTGAGCTTTTACAGTGTATAATGTGACATTTGGAATGCTTATCAATTGCATGTAAACATTAATAACCTGCACTTTTTTGTCTTAAGGTTTGTTGAGCTGTTTTGTTCACTGTACTTTAACTGTGATATGGAAAAGACTGCATTCTCTGTGCTGTTACTAGTTAGGAAAAAGAATTGCTTTGATTTTGTCTCTTGTTTACTATAGCTTTTTAAAGTTAAGCCTTGTACTACAGGTTGTTGGAGTACTCCTGGATAGTGTTTCATAGTAGCCAGCAATAAGTAGTGCAGGTCAACAAAAACACAGCAAACTTAGGCAAAGTGTCCTTTACTTTGAGATGCAAGTTCTTTCATGAGGTTTTCTTTAGGGTCAGAGTTACCTAAAAAGTAAAGCCTCTCTTACCTGTAGACTTCTGATTCTGCTTGGAATCCTACCGGATCAAGAAGCACATGTATTGTGCAATTGTATTTACACTATAACAGTTGAACACAGTCTTATTAAGATTTTGAAACCAGTGTCTGATTTGTGGTCAGTGGGTTTAAAAAGAAATCCCCATGCAGATCTTTTAAGACTTAAGAGGTGATCATAGAAAAGACTAAGTGACTGTAAAGATGCTCATTTTTGCATCTCACTTTACCTCCCCAAGCACCCTCCCAACCTTCCCTTCTCACCTCTCCAGTTTCATCCTTTC